AGTCCATGTCGCGCTCAGCAATGCGCCCGTCGAGATCGGCCTCGGCCCCAAGATGCTTTTTGACAGTTCGCAGAGCGAGGTCCGATGGCCGAATCCCCTCGATCTCTTCGAGGAGATCAACAACACTCCCATACGTCTTTCCAGGCAGCGCCGTGTGCGGCCGTCCTCAACGGCCCCTGCACCAATACGAGACCGTCGCGGCAGCGAGTGGGGGAAGGGCGAAGCGCAGCACCCTGCAGAAGGAGCACGTCCTCGCACCCTTTACACTTGGCACGGGACGAAGGAGGCACCTCATTACACGGCAGCAGATGGGGTCTCATTATCGAAGAGGGTTTCTGCAGCCCGACCTAGAGTCTCGGCTCCCGGATGTCGGCCTCAAACGCGGACCCGGACCCGTCGACAACCAGCGTCCCGCTTGCATGCAACCGTTGGGCGACGTGGCTTGGGCTGCCTGGAAAAGGCTACGGCCGAGCCTTTCGACGATGCTCGCAGAAAAGATCTGCACAGGCGCCAAGCGCCATCTGTCCTTTCGCGCCGAACACGGCGACGGCTGTTACTGACCGAAGTACTCGTGCAGAGCCGCCAGTCGTAGACTCAAGAGACAGATGTAAAGAGCAATGCTTCCTTACAAGAGCAATTGGCTCGGGCAGCCCAGCTCAGAGCGAGGTCCTTCCCGGCGCGCGTGCGCCCGCGCCCAGCATGGACTGGTGGGGCGGCAAGAGACTCGGGGGTGGACAGACCTCCTACCCTGACACGTCGATTAGCGAATTAGCCGTTTTCGGTTCGCGAGGGGGCGTCGCGGCCGTCGTTTTTGCGGGTCCAGGTCCGTCGGTCTCGTTCCCAGGCCGTTCTCACTAGAGGGAGAGTTACTACAGGGAGGTTTGTCCACCGCCGAGAGACCTCAGTTGCGCTCCCTCGCTGAGGCACCAAAGCTGGACCGGTGCACGTGTGTTTCCATGGCCGCGCGCGCACAGCTCTCAGCACGAGCTACTTCACGAGCCAAGAGCGGGCACCGCGCACCTGCATGTAGGTGCTGCCCTGCAGTCGTCGTGCGTGAGGATCCTCATCCTGCAACCTGCACCTACAATCCGAGGCTACAGGCTACGCAGAGTGAATGGAAACGCAGCGAACGGCTCCTTCACTTCCGCCCAGTCGCTCACATCACGAGTACACAGCAGAAACTGGATCATAACACATGGGCGGAAGTCGATGTTTCCCACACGGCTTTCACACAGTGCACGATGGGCCCCTGGGGGAAGCGGGGCACATAGAAGCAAATCGCTCCTTGCGTATCCGATGAGTCAGGCTGCAAGGGCAGCAGTCTGCGAAGATCGTCGAATGACGCTCTTCGAATATACGGTCGAACATCCCGGGTCGCTGACCCCGAATAGAGGGACGGCCTTGAGTTCAGCGCGTGCCACTCGCGACAAGTCGAGCATCTGATTCAGAGATCGCCGCCCGAAAAGCCGGGCCACCGCTTCTTGACCAACTTGCCAAGAAGCTGGCCCAGTCTCTTGAGCGCGGTTGCCCGTCGAGCGTTAACAACCGAAGTTGCCCCAGGCTTGCGTTGAGAAGAAGCTTCTGGGAAGCTGGCCCAGATGTCTTAACATATAGTTGTCTTGATCGCACTTGTGGCTATCGTCCTTTCGCTTTTGACCTACCCCGTGTGCAGCTCGCCAGCTCCCCGGGCACACGCTCGGCTTGCTCGAGAGTCGTTCACGCCGCACTCCCCTCGGCAGGCTCGCCCCGCACCCGCGGTCGACTCCGAGGTGCTGCCCCGCGCAGGCACCTGCAGCCCATAGAATAAAGTCGGGCCTGCCCCCCTACAGGGGGATTTCCGACGAAAAATAAGAAATGCCCCAAACATAGTCAAAACATTGTCCAGAAATAGTCTGGGGACTATTTTGGGGGATTGTTTGACCTTTTTGGGATATTTTGGGGGTATTTGTAATTTTTCGTCGAAAATCCCCCTGTATGGGGGGCACGCCCGACTTAACCCTAGAAGGACTCCGCAGCCCCCGAGCGAGATACCGACGAGCCTGCAAGATGTGCTCGGCGGCGGGCCCCGGGGGGAAGAGAGAGCGGGCGGGCCTTCTCGGAAGGCTCGGAAGGCCTCGGGGCCGTCGGAGAAAGCCTCGAAACCTTCCCCGAAGACGCAGAAAACTTCTCAGAAGGCCGGGGGCTTCTGAGAAGCCCCGCCGCCCTAGTCTTGGCTGGGTGGTGATGAAGGGGTGGCTTCAACGGGGGGGGATATATTGGCCCTACGCGGCTTTGTAGGGCTCCCTTTGAAGCCAGCAGGGGCCCCAAGCAGATCCTAAAGGGCCCAGTTAAGGGCCACGTTCTTCACTCCCCACCGAAGCCACCCCCCCTTCACACCCGCCCGAGAGTCCAGGTGCCCGAGGTCATGGCCAGCTTGAGGATCAGGCGCAGCGTGAAAGGGGGGGTAGTTGAGGCTCAGGGGGGGACGTGACCCCCAATCGCCCACTGATCGCCGGTGGGGTCCCAATAGTCCCCCCCGCCCAGGACCGCTCGGATTCGCCATCGGGGGCGTCTTGCCCATCCGTCGGCGACGTATCGCCGATTTCGGTCGATGCCCCCTCCTCTGAGCCAGTCCCCTACTAACGATCCCCCTCTTTCCCAGGGCTTGATCAGGACCAGCCTGAGGAAGCCCGTGGCCCACGCATGCCCTGGCAAGATGCCTTATAAGACTTCCACGGCCCCATACAACTGGCCGCCAAAGCGCCAGGAAAACCTCGGCATCCCGACAGACCTCGGCGGATGGTGGATGTGTATATGCTTCACCTCCACCAGGACCCGAATACATCCATATCCACCGTTTGCCGACGTCCCCGAAGTTCGATGCCCCGGGCGGCGTTGATGGATCAATCCTCTCCTCGGAGCTGCTGTGCATCCTGGCGCGGACGATCCGGTTCAATCAGGACTCTGTGCTCGTGCGGGCCGATCCGGGGCACGTTCTGATCTGCTCCGGCTTCCCGATCCGATGCTGATTGATCTTGGCAGGTCTCCAGGCACTCGGCCGCCAACCGCGAGGGGCCTCGGCATCCGGAGCGGGGGCGGGCAGAGGCATGGCTGCCAGAGCCGGGAACCCGCTTCGACTTCGCTGAGCATCAAGACGTAACCTGGAACTTGGTCAGAGGCTTTGATTGGGCATCGAGAGAGCGCCCACTGAGACAAGTCCACTGAGGATACCTGCGTGGTTCACTCGACATTGGTATTCGAGTTTGGCGGTGCAGCCCCCCGCTGGTTTTGCTAATCGACGTTCGTCTCGCCTGATGCAATCGATTGTTTTTGGACGTAGATGAGCTGCCCCGCTGGGGTCCACCCGGTGTGCGGGGACGTGCGCGCGTGGAGTGTCCTTGGCAGCTTTCGCAAAAAGGCTTTGTCCTGAAGGGTGTTCTGTGAATCTTTGCTTTGAGCATGCCCGGGGGGACCCGGCCAGGCACCCACGACCCCGAAGGACCTGCAGCAGCGCGCACCGTGGTCCACTCGCTCAACGCTTCGTTTGGCGGCGAGCAGAAGGGGGTAGGGGGAGGGGGGAAGGCTTCTTAGAAGGAGGCTGCTTCTTAGACGGCGCCGGCCTTACATCCATAGAGAAAGCCCGCACCTTCTAAGAAGCAGGGGTGCTTCTAAGAAGCCTTCCCCCCTCCCCCTACCCCCCTCTGCGCGCCGCCAAGTCGTGCTGCCGCACAGGGCGCTCGCGTGGGACCGCCAGGCCCGCACACAGATCGCCGCCCAGCGTGGTCCGTCCCCACGGCGTGGCGCGCGGGCGTCCGAGCTCAGCCTGGACTGGCACGAGGCAGGGCAGCAGCGCAATCGGACGCCCCCTCCCCCCCCGTCCTCTGCAAGCAGCAGTTGCAGCCATTCACAGCCGCTTTCACAGCCACCGTGCTTGCCTCGACCAGCGGCTCCACGCTCTAGCACTCTAGCAGTCTAACCACGGGAACTGGAGGCGCCGCAGGCTGTCGAAGGGCACCACTGTGTTGCGCAGCCGGGACGCTTGCCAATACGCGTCTGACCATTTCGAGGGAAGGCATCGGCGGCCTGCCGCCCAGGTCCACAGGCCAGTCCGAGATCTCGTGGAGCCTGCCCTCGCGCCATAGGCGGCCCAACTCTTCTTTCGAGCTCCTGGACCTCCTCTTGCCTGCACGGCGCCCTTCTCGGCGCCTCCCCAGCCTTCCCTTCAGCGCACACGCTCGGCTGCCACCACTCCAGCAGCTTCGACGCATCATCGGGTGGTCCTTCCCGTATCACGCCTGAGCGTATGGATGTGCAGTTCCACGAATCGTGTTGCTCAGCCCGGGAGCACCCGCAAACTGATGTCCCAGAAATGGAGCCCATTGTTTGACTGCAACCATCCCTTAGCCGATCCGTCCAGTATTCATCCGCTCTCCAAATTCCTATCCTTCCAGTCTCCGCCCGCCCTTTTATCAGTACGTAGTCGAGTTTGTTGAGCAGTGCGACCCTTCCAAATCAAGTGAGTCTTTGTGTCCTTGGTTTCGCGTGCCGTGTCCTCTGCACTCCTGGAGCAACGCGGCTCTCGGAAGGGTCCCAAATCCTCTCGCGTGTCCTCTCCAATCGAATTCGAAGATATGTCCTTTCTTATCCTTACCCCCATCCCAATCTCATCTCTCGCCTTTGGCCTGCTATCGAAACCGATCAGTGTACCCGTATTCTGACAGATTGTCGTTCTTACTACGGCGTTGCAAGTCTTCGCGTTCGTGTCGCTCACCGTGGGTACTTTTCGTGATCATGGTGATCGGCATGGTCTTCCTCGATCTCCATGTGGGGTCTCGGGCTACTGGTATCAAAACGTCCTCCCCACCCTCACTTTTCCGCTTCCTCCTTCCTCCCTCCCCTCGGCCGTGCTGTCATCTTCCCGCTGCTCTGGGCGGTCCTTTTCAGGGGCGCAGCAGGGAGCTCGGGGCGGCAGCTCCTGTTGCAGTACCGCTCCCCGCGAAGAAACAGAGCGGCGACGGCGGCCGACGACGACGACGACGCTCGACCGACCGACCGACGACCGACGACCTGCGACAACGACCGACGGCAACGACGGCAGCATTGGACCGACCGACAATAGTGTCGACGACGACGGCGACCGACGACCGACTGGACGACCGACGACGCACGACCGACGAGAACGACCGACGGCAACGACGACATCGGCGACGCTGGACCGACCGCCGACGACGACCGACAACAACGACTAATACGGCAGACTTAACGACCGACGACTGACGCGACGGCGACACAGGACGGCGAGGTCGACGACGGCGATGGTGGCGAGGACGGCGACGACCGAGTCCGGCGCATCAGCCGCTTGCGCCGCGGCTCGTCCGGGCCCTCTCACTCTTACCCGCCACTGTGGGGGACGAGTGTAATGCGACTGTTTCCGCAGTGGGCGTTCGAAGACCGAGGTTGTCAGGCGCCCAAGTTCTGTTTGGGACACTTTCGGGCGCTGTGGATCTGGTCAACCGGCAGGGGGGGAACAGCATACGGGCATGGGAGCTGCAAGAGCTGACACGTGCAGCCAGCTTCGTCCCCACCGCTGGGCACTTTCCCCGATACCCCAGGAAGACATCAGCTGCATCAGCATAATTACTCGGAGGTCGGAGGCTTCGGCTCAAGGCGCCCCGCCACCTCCAGCGATGGGGGCCGCGCCCAGCCGTCGGGGCCCGCCGCGCGCGCTGGGCGCATGCTGCGCCTCTGCAGCGCCCCGCGCGCCAAGCGCGCCAAGCGCGCCGCGGCGGCCGCGGAGGGCCCCGCCGACGCCGGGGCCGCCGGCGACGGCGGCTGGCTGCTGGAGGGCCCGAAGGGGAAAAAAGGTGCCCGAGCACCACCCGACGGGAGTGCCAGCAGGCGCCGCCAGGGGCCAACTCGCCGTCGGAGGCATCGTCCACGACGGCCAGGTCTCCGACCAGGGCGTCGAGGACGAAAGCCGCGAACGGCTGTGGCCGAACCTGGCCGCTGGCCGAGGGCATCAGCGGCAGGCCAGTACGCGGGTGCTGCCCAGCCCACAGGCGCCCCAGACGGTGGCGCGTTTTTGGGGGAACGGCCCCAAGGCAAGGCTGCGCGAGGAGCTGGGCGTTCGCAGTCGAGTGCGCCACGCACCTCGCGCAAAAAAGGACGGGTCCACGCTCCACACACGGGGGCCACTTCCTGGGGAGCGCACCGCGGGGAAGAAGGCGTCGCGCGCCTTCGCGACGCGGTCGCAGCGCACGCATCGGAAGCCCTTGCCGCACAGCGCAGGCTCGTGGGAGCCGTCGGGCGGCGCCGCGTCCGCCGTCAGCTCGGGGATGCGCCTCGCTGCTACGCACGCTGAAAGAGGCCGTGCCGCGGCGCATCCTGCTGGCTAGGGCCCGCTGTTCGGCCGCCAGAAACTTGGCCATGAAGGTCACGAGACGGAAGGTGCGCTTGACGCGTTCCGTCGCCGCTTCGTCGGCAGGGTGGAGGGCAGCGCCCTTTCGGATAGCGCGGCCCGCGACGTGGTTGCCTCAGACCATGCCTCGTTCGACGTCGCCGTCTTGGCTGCGGCGAGCGTAGCCTTTGACATTGAGCACCTCCACCCCGCCCCCGCGGTCGCCCACCCGATCCCACATGCAATGCCAGAGATCCGCTTCTTCGCACTGTGCGTTCGTCGTCTCGGAGCGCCCGCGCGCAAAGCTCGAGACGACCCACGCGCAGTCCGAATGGCAGCGGAAGGGTCCCAGCGCCGCATGCGTCACGTACATGAGGAGGGCGAAGACTTCCGCGAGGTACGACGCATGGGGCGGGCCTGGAAGCAGGCCTCACAGGGAAGCGACCAGGGGGCCAGTGGCATCAACCTGAACCACAGACCAGCCCGCTCTGGCGAGTCGGGGGCCGCCCTGCACTAAAGACTTGCAGGGGCCGTCGCCGAAGGCCTCGCCCTCGATGCAGCCAGACGCTCGGGCCACTTGGCGAGGAGGGAAGGGGCGGGGCTGGCGCAGAAGGCCGAGGATCGGGAACCAGGGCGCGCGTCCAGAGGACCCAAGCGGAGCGGGCTCGAGGTCAGCGCGAAGGAGGAGGGTGGGGGTGGTCGTACTCCCGAGAAGGTCCTTGGGCAGGACTCGTTGCCCCAAAGGGGGCAGGTCGGGCTGGTCGCAAGACCATGGCGAATCTTCCGAGCCTGATCCCAAATGCCGCTAGCTACAATCGCACGGAGGGTCGCCCGATGCAGCGGGGTCCAATCGGGCCCCAGCGCTCCGTTTCACAGGCGGCGGAGGGGGGCGAGGTAGGGTCGGGCAGGAAGGGCGGTGGAGTCCTGCAGAGCTCAGTGCAGCAGCCAATCCTCGGTGCTCACGCGCATGGGGTGGAGAAAGATGCGAGGGCAAGTGGCCGCGGCAATCAACGTGCAGGCACCAGGGCCGAGCCTCCACTCTTTGCGTCTACAGCAGGTTAGGGCAGCTGAAACCGATCCACGAACCAGTGCCCAAACGTTTCTACAACCGGCGTAGGCCTCGTCGGCCGCGTCCGCGGCGACAGAAGCCGGGCGACCGCGCCCCGAGGAATCCACGGCTCCCAGACAGCCTTCGCCAGCATGTGGATAGGGCCCACCGCGCTCGCGCACGCTGGGCCGACCGACCTCGGAGCCGAGGGGGAGGGGGGGAGGTCGAGGGTGAAAGAGCAGCGAGCTGTGCGAAAGGAAAGGTTGGAGTGCGCAGCGCGTCTGTCTCATTGTTTCGACCCCTTCCCCGCGCTCCCAGTCGCGCCATGCCCCCGCGCGCCAGCAGGCGCGAGGCCGGGTATAACGTGCTGCTGTGTTCTGCCTCTTGCGGCTCGGATCACTCGGATGTGCGCTGCGCGCCGCGCCGCCGTGGCCATGCTCTTGGCCCGCGCGGCGCCTCCTGGGCGTCGGCCGCAGCCGTAGTGCACGCCCAGGCCCTTGGCGGACCTGTGGCACTTGCGCCGCGCAGCGCCGCATGGCCTCGCGGCCGCAGTCGGCGCTGTTGGCCAGCACCACGCCCTGGCGTCGCTCACCTGCGCGGCCGCGCGCTTGGCCAGGCCCGTTTGGGCGAGCTGGACGTCGTCGTCCGCGTTGCTGACCGCCGCAGCGCAGAAAGCCAAGGCGCGGAGAGCGACGGCGGCGCCGAGGCGCGGGACCAGGGACATCCCCACGCAGAGTTCGGCGAAGCTGCGTCCTGCAACCGCGCTGCGCCGAGGGGCACAGGCGGGCGCGGCCGCGCCCCGAGAGCAGACGACGCGCGGCATGCCGCGCAGCTGGGGGAGGAGGCGCAGCAGCACGAGGCTGAAGTTCACGGCCTCGGCGCGCTGGGCGAACAACGCCCGCGGGACGTGCTCGCGCGCCTGCGCGAGGTCCATGAGGGCCGTGCACGCCGCCTGGCCGCGGTGACACGCCACCTGCTCCGCGGCGGCCTGCGCCCACGCGCAGGTCTCGCAGTTCTGGACAGCTGCGCCGAAGACGTTGCTGCGGTGGCGCCGCGTGGCCCACTGCGCGCCCGCGGCGTCCCTGGCCCAGCGGGTGAGGGGCCGCAGGGGCCACGCGAAGAGGCCGGTGGCGCGCGCCGCCCTCGGGCCTGGGAAGGAGCGCCATCTGCGCGGCCGCCAGCGCGCGCGGCACGTGGCCCAGGGCCAGCACCAGGGACCACACCTCAATGCAGGCTGCCACCGCCGCGTCGGACAACGCGCGCGCCGCGGGCGAACGCGTCGCAGCTCAGCCCTGTCACGCGTGGGAAGGCGCGGCCCACCGGCGGAGCTCCTCGACGGTCGGCAGGGTTGGCGGCGCGCCCAGCTCAGCTGGCCATTGCACGGCCTCGAGCCCACCGCCTTCGCCCCAGAGCACGTGCCACGGGCGGGCGGCAGCCTTGGCGACGAGCTGCGCCGGTTGGACGTCCGCAGTCGGTTGCCAGCGTGCCGCGGCCCAGGGCGCGGCCTCGCGTATCCAGCGAAAGCCTTTGCGCATGCCGTCGGCGGAGGCGGCTTCGCGTGCCCAGTTAAGCCAGGCCTTGCATCCGAGCCCAGGTTCTGGAGGCGACGCACTATGTAGGTTGCGCCAGGCCTGCCAGGGTTGCGGGTCAGCGCCAGCGACTGGTGGCTTGAATCGGGGGAGCCGCGCCTGCAGACGCCGCGCGTGGGCCATGCTGCCAGCCCGCTGGAGGACGCGCCACTCGCGAACTCGCTCCGCCAGCCAGCCCCGGTGCTGCTTCGAGGTGTCAGGCTTGGCAGGGGGCTGCCACTGGACGCGCTGGCGGTGCAGATGCACTTGTGCGAAGCGGGCGCGCTCGCCCCTGCCGCGGTGGCGATCGGCCTCCTTCCCGTCTACGAGGCCGAAGAGCTGCGCCAGCTTGACCTCGTGGCGGTCGAGGGCGCCTCGGCGGGCCGCGTCGAGGGCGGGCGCCGCGTCGACGGTCCTGAGGTCGTCGTGCACATCCCGCCAGTCGGGGGCCGGTAGCTGCGGCCCCGCCAGTGCCCGAGCGGGGCGCGGTCGAGGGCGTCGCAGGCGCGCGACCAGCGCGCCCGGGGCTGCAGGGCCAGGCGGGGAACGACCGCCTTATGCGTGCGAACCGAGGAGGCCGCAGCGACGCACCTCCTGCACCGCCGTGTCCTCGTCGACGCAGAAGTAGTCGAGGTCCCTGGCAGAGGTGGGCGCCACGCAGGTGGCTTGGCCAGTGCAGGCGAGCCTCGCGCCGATGGAGGGCAGCAGCTGCGTCTCTTCCAGCACAGCGGGGGCCGTGTTCCGGCCGGCGCCCACGACGACGGCCAGTTGCATCGCCTTGATCACCGAGCCCACTTTAATCAGCAGGTCGAGGTCTTTGTCGCAGAGGTCCTGGCTCGTGCGCACGTGGGCCGATACCAGCAGCGCGCCCTCCTTAGAGCCCGGGGATGTCATCCAAAAGCTTAGGCGCGCGGGGCAGCGCACCGAAATGCGGTCGTCAGCAAACTCGACGCGCTGGAGGTGGACCTAGGGGCGGACTCGGATTCCGACGCCAGCGGAAGTGCATCC